GCCGAGCCCAGCCGAACGGAACCGAGCCGACCCGAGCCGAGCCGAGCCGGAGCATGACGACACGGGCCGGCGGACCGACCGACTGACCGACCGAGACGGAGCGACAGGCGGAGAGGCGAGTGGGGGTGGGTGGGTGACAGTGCTGAGTGACAGACGGACAGAGACACAGAGACGGACAGAAACACGGCGGTACGGAGACGCAGAAACACGGAAACACAGACAGGCTGACGGACAGCGGACGCTGGAGTGAAGTCAGAGACCGAGACCGAGAGCCGGAGGCGAGAGAGAAGAGAGGAGAAGAGGAGAGAGGGAGAGAGAGAGAGAAATCACTGTGACGAGAGGTTTCATGTCGAGGTTTTGAAATGAGTGACAGACCCAGACGGACAGACCCGCCAGCTCGCCAGATAGCAGGTAGGCACGGGGTCTGTCCGTCTGGAAATGTCTCTGTCTCTCTGTCTCTAGGCGGACGTGTTTCTATTTGTATTCCTCCTGCGTGGGAGCTACGTTGCCCTTATTCTCATCGCCTTTGCGGTCGTTGCGTATTTGTGTTGTGTTTTTTGTTGTTGTTGTTGTTGTTGTTGTTGCCGTTGTTTTTCGTGCGAGTTTGTGGTCGCCGTGGCCCGAGACGGGAGCTCAGCCCGTGTTTTCGGAGGCGCGTGCGGCTGGGGCGGCGGCGTGGCCGGCGCTGCCCACGCCACGCGTGTGTCCGGCGGGGGTCACTGACCCACTGACCTGTCCCCTCTGTCGCTCAGGAATGTCGAGTCTCGGTGAGGGAGACGACGTGCTGGCGCGCTGGAGCGACGGACTGCTGTACCTGGGCAACGTCAAAAGAGTCAGTGTGTGTGTGTGTCAGTCTGACCGTGTGTGTGTGTGTGTGTGTGTGTGTGTCAGTCTAACGGTCTGACTGTGTGTGTGTCAGTTTGACTGTGTCTGTGTGTCAGTCTGACTGTCTGACTGTGTGTCTGTGTGTCAGTCTGACTGTGTCTGTGTGTCACTCTGACTGTGTGTGTGTGTGTCACTCTGACTGTGTGTGTGTCAGTCTGATTGTCTGACTGTGTGTCTGTGTGTCACTCTCACTGTGTGTGTATGTCTGTGTGTCTTTGTGTCACTCTGACTGTGTGTGTGTCAGTCTGACGGTCTGACTGTGTGTCTGACTGTCTGTGTGTCTGTGTGTCACTCTGTGTGTGGGTGTCTGACTGTCTGACTGTGTGTGTGTCTGACTGACTGCATCTAATTGTGTGTCAGTCTGTATCTGGCTGTGTGTCAGTCTGTGCGTCTGTGTCTTACTGAATCTGTATGTGTCTGTTCCTGATTGTGTTTCTGTGTCTGACAGCATCTGATAGCGTGTCTGTGCTGGGTGTCAGTGGGTGTCAGTGTCCACTCTCTCTCGCAGGTGGATGAGGTCAGACAGTGCTGTCTTGTGCGATTTGAAGACAACTCCGAGTTCTGGGTCCTGAGGAAAGATATCCACTCCTGTAAGACACAGAGATCTCTTGTGCCATTATTTATTAATAAGAATATTGGAAAATGAGAAAGATGTCCCCTGCTCTCTGGGTCTCTCTCAGTGCAGTGTTCATGTACTGGAGTGTCCAGTCAG